ATCAGAGTGGCATTTAATTTTTCTAATAGCGTAATTACGACATTTGCAACTTCACCCAAGTCAATGTCTAACGAGAGAGTCTTTAAAATATTTTAATGAGAATATTTTTCAACACAATCAACATGTTGTAAATTTTCTAATTATTATTCGATTTATGTTTTCTTTTTAATTGCCCTTTTACTTTTTAGATACTAAGTAGAAGAAGAAGACGAGGAAAAAGTATGTTTATTAATAGAGATGATTTCTGTCTAATTTTGCTTCTATTGGAATAATATTCCACTGAATGTAACTGTTAGAATGTAGCACACAAAGTTAAAGAGAGTGAATTTGAAAGGATGGCGATAAACGGCTTTCGGACAAGATTGCCTTTAAAAAAAAGAGATCGATGCGGTAAACTATGCGGATGGTAATTGGAACAACATCAACGATTTTGAGTGCCAGAAAACGATAACGAGGATGACACTTATGAAAGCTTAGAAGTAGAAAATAATATGGGACAGAGGAACTTTAATGTCTCGCGACAGCGGCGATAACTAATTAGAGTCATGCGTAATTGCTAATCGTGCCGAGTGAATAATGTAAGAGAAATGCTCTTCTCGAATGATATAACCAATGAAAATATTCTTTAAACGTAACTTATTACTGATTCTATTTATATACATATAATTGAAAATTTCTCTTCACGCAACATTTTCATACTTTATTAAAAGAAATCAAAAATTTATTAACAAGACGATTATTTGAGTAAATAAGTAATTTATCAGTTCATTTAACCATTTTTCAATTAAACAAGAAAGGAATTTGCTTTTCTTTAAGGTCAATTAACATTTTCCCTTTGGAATGACAAAACACCTTCACACGGATGAGTTTACATTGTCTTTTCTTTTCAGCAGGTCTGCTTTTCAGATTCTCCTTTCGTAAATTATGCAATTGGACGACATAGTGTCTCGGTATTCGAACGCTTTAGTGACTCCAAGGGAAAATGTTTGCCAAAAATAACGACATTGCAACTTGAAGAATAAAATCCTTGCATTGAATAAACTTTTTCAGATTTTCAACTGGCGCCAAAATTCCTATATCTGAAACTATTCAAACTATTCTCAAGTATTCAAACTTTTTCAATAAAACAAAAAATACACTATATATTTATAAATTTAGAATAAAAAATTAAAAAAATTTCTAAACTTCCAGAATGAATACGAATAGATACCATTAAAAAAATGAAAGTAAATAAAGTTTTCTACAAGAGGCATTACAAATGTAAGGAAGAAGGATATTGAAAAAGGCAAAATATCCGGGTCGACTTTTAACGTCGGTTACATCACGTCCACGCGTGCATACCGATGACATCGTCCTGTCACGTTTTTGCGGATGAATTCGCATAACGAAACATGACGCCGACCAATGCTTTCTACTCATTTCATTTTGACTGATGATAATTATCTTGGATCTGTCAGAATGTTGGAAAAAAGCCAGCTAAACGGGCAATTAAGATATTAATTGGGGCGCGGTATCTTATTTGAATTTAGAAATTCCACAAAGAGAACTATAAACGATTTGCTTTTATGAATCAAAAAATATATAATCGTAAGCATACAGACTTTAAAAAAGTAAATTCAAAACCATTTTTTCAAGAAAATATAAAAACAAATAAAAAGAGTAGAATTTCCCCGACTTTTTCCTGATTTTCATAAAAAATATTAATTTTTTTCTTGTCCTGATTAATTTAACTTTAATTATAAATGTTTCTAAAATTTTATTTTCTAAATTTTTAATTAGAATTCTTCAAAAAAACAAAAAAAAAAAATTATGTTTAAGAACAATTTTTAAAAGTAAAAAATAACATTTATTTCAATTAAATTTGACAAAATTTTCAATGAATTGAATAAAACTCTATCTTTCAATTCATTTAATCTATTTTCAAATTATTTACGAACTATCTAAACAAAATTTTAATTACAATTTATCAAAAGTATAATTTTTAATATAGTTTCTAAATTAAATTATTAAAAATTTGAATAACTATTATTAAATAAATATTTAAATACACATTCTAATTTATTTTCCCTCAGAAATTAAAATTTCCAATAATTTCAATGTAAAAATGTTTTGAAATCAAACTATTTAGTTATTTACAAAAATTACAATTATAATTTTTTCAAAATTCAATTTTTTTTCCAATTTTTAAATAAAATTATTGAATATTTACATAATTTTTTAGGAGCCACAAAATTAATAAATTTTTTAAATATTACAATTTAACAGCAATTCAAATTTTCAAAGATTTTAATTTAAAATTCTCTTGAAATTTAATTTCTAAAAATTCATATTATGTATAACGTTTCTGATATTCAATTATTCTCTGAAATTTTATCTCAAAATTCACTTTTAAATCAATTTTTATTAGAAAATTCTCCGAGAATTCAATTATTCGAATACACAAATAAATACCTAATAGAATAATTATTGATTATTTCATATAATTTAATTCTTATAAAGAATTTTATCAAAATTTTTTTAAATAATTGATTATTTTATAAGAATTTTAATAAATTTATTCAAAATAATTGCACTTTTCGAGGAATTTATTAAAACCTGCATTAAAACGAATTAAATTCCTGGGAAGAACTTTATTATAATTTGTGAAAAATTGAATTTTTTATTAAAATTTTTTGAAAATAATTCAATTCTTTCGAGGAGTTTAATTAAAATTGTATTACAAATAAAATAATTATTATAAATCAATTTTGTCAAAATTTTTAAAAATAATTCATCTCTTTTGAAGAATTTTATGCAAAGTATTTTAAATAATTAAATTCTTTTAACAAGTTTTACTAAAATTGTATTAAAAATAATTGAATTCTCGCAAAAAATTTTATCAAAAGTTTGGAAAACAATTTAATTCTTTTGAAGAATTTTAAAAAATTTTTTTAGAATAATTGCATTTTTAGAGCAATTCTTTTAAAGTTGTATTGAAAGGAATTGAAATTCTGCGAAGAATTTTATTTTTAATGAAACTAAGTGAATTCTTGCATAGAATTTTATTACAATTTGTGAAAATAATTGAATTTTTTATTAAAATTTTGGAAAATAATTGAATTTTTTCGAGGAATTTAATTAAAATTGTATTAAAAATAATTTAATTATTATAAACCAATTTTATCAAAATTATTTAAAATATTTAATCTCTTTCGGAAAATTTTATGAATTTTTTTTAAATAATTAAATACTTTCGAGAAGTTTTGTTAAAATGGTATTAAAAATAATTAAATACCTGCAAAAAATTTAAATACAATTTTTCAAAATAATTCAATAATTCTTTCGAGAAATTTTAATAAAAATTTTAAGAATAATCTTTATTAAATAAATAAACAAATACCTAATTATATTTTTCGAGGAATTCATTTAAACTTGTATTAAAAATAATTGAAATCTTGCGAAGAATTTTATTATTTTCGAAAATAATTGAATTCTTTAGAAGAATTTTGTTAAAATTCTTGAAAATAATTTAATTCTTTTGAAAATTCCATTATTTCTGAAAATAATTGAATTTCTGCAAAGAGTTCTATTATTTTTGATAAATAATTGAATTTTTGAGAAAAATCGTATTAAAATTTTTTTAAAATAATTAAATTCTTTCGAAGAATTTTATTACAATTTTTGAGAATTATTTTTTTAACAATCAGCGGACTGAAAGTAGTACAAATTTAAAAGAAAGAAAAAAGTATTTTAGTATTCACAAATCTAAAAAAAATCCCAAATAGTTATTTCTAGAAAAAAACAATAGAAAAAATTGAAAATGCGAAAAAATACAAAAATAAAAATGATAGAAAAAAATGCAAATAATAATAAAGAAAAAGGAAAAAAGTTTTTAGATTTATAGAGAAACAGGAACTAGAAATTGTGCCGCACTTTGACATTTAAAGGAAACAGAACCAGATTTTTAATCAGAAGAATTATTTTTTCGGACAAGAAAACGATAATATTAATCGATATAATTGCAATTTTCTATAACGAGCACAGGAAAACATACACGTTCGCGTGGCAAATATTTGCCAAGCAGGTGTGTGAGTCAGTACATATGTCAAATGTCGAAAGGCGTTGCGTTAGGGGGATTTTCTCTCTGATTTTGACGGAGCGTGACAACAACACTTATACACACACGTGGACAGTTTCCAAAGTAAGCTTTTTGGGGTATTCATCTCGCAAAATGTTTGAATTTTCACTGAAATTTACTCATCGTCCCGCTAAATTTACGAAGAATATCATTACATTCACTTGTTCTATCGTATAATTCGCGTGACACTTATCATAAAAGCAAATTCCTTCATTTCACTCTTTGATTAATCAAAAACACTAAATTTCCGCGAATTTTCAAACATTTCTCAAAAATTTATTTATACCTAACAATTTCGAAAAACTTAAGACATTTTTTTAATATTTAAAAATATTAAATATTAATAATATTATTATTATTATATTATTAAATATTAATAATAATAAATCAAAATCGTATTGAATTTAGATTATTTTTCAATTTTTCAATTATTTGCAAATCAAGAAAATCATTGTACTTTGAAATTATGAATTTTTAAATACCTTCAAACATTCCACTAAAGGGAATATTTAATCAATGATTAATAGATGATTTAATGAATTGAATGCATTGCATATACTAAGATTCATTAGTCTCACTACTAATTAGAAAATTAATGCAAAAATTTACAATTAACCTTCATCGTAGTTGCATTTCAAATTACTTCTGGTATTTTATCAAAATTTATCAAATTTTACTTGCAAATTTTTCCCTTTGCGTTTTATATCATTTCCGGTTTTTTCAAATATTAACAAATTTATTTATTTTTATATATTTTTGGTTTTTGCATTTTTAAATGGTTTGAATTATATTCAATGTTTATTATGCAATATATGTGACGATAAATAAATTTAATGTTTAGTGATAAATGAATTGAAAAAATTATTCTGTATTTTACCTTATGAAGAAAGATCTTATAGGACTCAAAATTTCATCACAGGAAGAATCAGTCTCTCACGTTTCTCAATAAAATTTTCGAAAATGTATTCGTTGAATAATTCTTTCGGCAGGCTCCTCAAAAATCCATCGCAAGTAGAATAAGTTTTTCATTAATATCCACAAACATCTGCAAAAAACAAACAAATTAGTTGAGAAAAATTATTCTTTTCAAATCAAATTTATATTTTGTTTAACAATAATACTAAGAATAAAAATAATAATAATAATAAATTTTCCTAAAGTTTTGAACGTTCAAATGAACGAAATTTTTTTCGTTTAATTATTTTTAAAAATTTACTATCTACATATGAAAAATAATTAAAACTAAATATTATTTACTAAGTGAAGAATAAATTTTATTTTTAATATTACACAAAATAATTTTTCACTATAAAAATACAAATTAAAAGAAGTGAAAAATATTGTCGTTCAAAACTTTAGGAACTTAATAATAGTAATAACAATAAAAATGATAATAATATTTTTATAATTTTGAATTCAACAAAATTCAAAAAAAAATATTAAAATTAATAATGACAATATTAATTTTTCCTTAAGTCGATGATGAACTTTATTGACCGGACAATAAAAATAATCACCAAATAATAAAGATTTTGAATTTACAGTGAATAAATTATCATTATTTTTGAATCCATTTTTTAAAATTTTACATCGTTATGTGAGGTTATATTGTAACATTTAATTACACTTGATGGTTTTATTGACATTAATTTAAATTCACGATGAAATGATTCCAAGTAGTGTGGCTTTCAGTAAATTGCAAAATTTTATGCATAAAGAGCAATGTCTCGTATTTATCTTCCCGTTTATATAAAATATAATTCTTTATAATACGAAGTAATTTCTGAAAATAAAAAATTATCCATCGAAAATTCTATCAATTCTTTCTCTTTATTTTTATTTTAAAATTATTCATCGAAAATGATATTAATTCTTTCTCTTTATTTTTACCTATTTATTTATATAAATTTTACCTATTTTTATCTCTCTATTTTTCTTTTAATGTCAATTATTAAATACTTGCAATACTTGAAATGAATAAATAATTAATATCATTTTAATGATTTTAATAAATAAATAATATCATTATAATAATTTTAGTAAACAAATAATTAATATCAGACTAATAATTTCAATAAATAAATAAATAATATAAAATTAAAATTTATTTTTAGAAAACTCAACTATTATTTTAAATTAAACATAATAAATTTAAATGAAATATACTATAAATGATCATGAATTTTTTCTCTCTGCAAAACAGGTTAAATAAAGGAAATATAAATTAAAACCGTTATAAGATCAAAAAACAGTTTCCTGATGGTTATTATAAGATGTCAATTGATATCAAAAATAGATCACTATGAAAATTATAACCTTGCAAACAGGAAGTAAAATGTTGTGGTCTCGGGAAACGTCTTCGATTCCAAAAACCACAAATCCGCTCCTTTAAGATTTTACTATTATTATACGAATCAACTTTTATAGATTCAAATGAAATACACAGTGTAATTCAATCACTGTTTTCTTTTTACTCCAAAAAAAAGTAAGAACTAGTCTCGAAAAATGTTTCTAAATATTTCTCATTAATGAGAATACGGTACTCTTTTTAATTTAATTTTTTCGAGTAGAGAATCTTTTTTGGAAGGAGTCTTTTTTTTCTTTTTTTTTGAGGATTCACAATAAGTATTCTGTCAAAGTGGATATGTATATAGTGGGATTATATCTCGTTCGGCGCGGTTCTCAAGCGAAATTGCCCGATAATTGCGGTATATTGGTAATAAATTTATGTTTCTCAGAAATTTACGGGTTCAAGAATAAATGGAGTTGGAGAGATGCGAGCATGTGAACACAAAACCGTGAGTCTTTCGCGATTATGTCTTTATTACGAGAAGTCATCACTCTCACAAAACCCTCTATTGGTTAATTTCCCCTCGAGAGCTCCATTATTCTCTCTCTCTTTTTTTTTATTTATTTATGTACTTTTTTCATGCCTCACGACCTTGAACCCCATTCTTCTAAAATCACATTTTTCAACCAAAGACTATTATCCCTTTTTCCTTCCTTGAAATTTTAAATCCTCACGAGTCAAAAATTATTTTTAAATTTAATACCAAAATTCATTATTCAGAATTCATTCATAAGTTTAAGTACCTAATCAATGAAATTTATTCTGCAAAGAAATTACGAAAATTAAGAATAGTTGAAGAATTTGATAGAAAATTCAGTAAGGAATTAAAATAAAAATACTAGTATATAGAAAAATTTGTCACAAATAATTTGTGACAAATTTTTATTTTAATTCGTGACTATTTTGTGACACTTGGAAGAGACTTGAAAAAATAAAATCACTCGAGGAATCTTTTCTCGACAAATTGCGAGAGGATAAAATGAAGCTGTAATCAAGGACTTGACGGCTGAAGGTCACAAACTGATAATAAAGAAGGATCTATAAAGTGAGACGATGGAATGTTAATAAGCCAAAAGAGAAAAAATAACTTCATTAGCCTCGAATTTAATTTAATTAAAAAAAGAAAAAAAAACTAAACAAGACGTCGAGCACGTTTTGCGTCCTTATAAAGTTTACGCACTCCCTTCACCCAACTCTCCTCTCTCCTTCTCTCTCTCTATTTTAGTCCACTTTTAACAACCGTTATATTGCACTATATAATTTAGAGCAACGTTTATAACCCTTTTTCCCTACACTTGAATTTTATTTCATCACAAAAACGATGCTAATTTTTCTCCTAAATATCAAAAAAATTATCACCAACCTCGGATTGACTTTAAGACGCAAAAAAAAGTTGTTTTAGTCCATTCAAAATACGACAAACGGTGAAAAAGTCGTTATTTCCTTTATTCTGGAATGTCACAAAAATTTTATTATATATTTTTTTCTGATTTTTCCCTGATTTTCAGCCAATTTTTAAAAAATTGTAATAAAATTCTGCAAAATATAAAATTTATTTCAATAAAATGTGACGAAAGATTTTACAATTTTACAATTGTTTGACAATTTCTCAATTAATTGCTTTTGTGGAATTCAATTATCTTTAAAAAAAAGTTTAATTACAATTTTTCAACAAATTATTTTTTCCAATTTCTGAATTCAATTATTCAATTTTCAAAACAAAAATTATTCAAAATTTCAATATTTTTTTCAATTATTATAATTATTTTTTAAATTAAAAGATTTCTTATTTCAATTAAAATAATTTTTTTAATTAATTGAAATTTTCAAAAAACTAAAATCATTCAAAATTTTATCAATTTTTTTCATTTACAATTATTTTTTAAAATAAAAATTTTTCAATTTCAATTACAATAATAAATTTTCCTAATCAATTGGAATTTTTAAAAAAAATTTAAGTTGAAACCTTTTGAATTTAATTATTTCCAAAATTATTTCTAGAATAATAATTATTAAATTATTAGGTATGTAAATATGAGTATTTAATTATTTTTATAATTTAAAATTGAAATTTTTCTCTAAGTAAATTATGTTTTTAATAATTTTGTGAAAAGTCATAAAAGTTCAATTATGTATTTGAAAAAAATGCAATTAAAACTAAAATTCGATTGTTTTTAATTCAATTTAACAAAAATTTTGAATATTCGAAAATTTCTCAATTGAATATATGTTTGAAAATTCCAAAAAAATTATTAATAAATAATTAATTTAAAAAAAAGAATCAAACAATTTTGAAAGAAGTAAACTGTTTGGAATTTTTAACTCAAATTATCGAAAATTCAAATTTTAAAAAATTTCAATTTGAGAAGTTTTGAAATTTAATGACATTTAGGAAAAAATTTCTACAACAATTCTTCCAATATTCGATTATTTTCTAGAATTTTTATCCCAAATTATTTTCTAAATCAATTATTTTTAATAATTTTTAGAAAGTTCTTTGACAATTAAATTGTTTGAAGAAAAAAAGAAAGTTTAGTTACAATTTTTCTTTAGAAATACAGTTATTTTTAAAAATTTGTAATAAAATTCTCTAAAATAAAAAATTTATTTCAATAAAATTTGTCAAAATTGACAATTGTTTGAAAATTTATCAATTAATTACTTTTGGGAATTTAAATATTCAAAAAAACTTTTAATTATAATTTTTCAAAAATCTAATTTTTTAAAGTTTCTGAATTAAAATTCAAAACTAAAATTTATCAAACGTTTAATAATTTTTTTCAACTACAGTTAATTGTAATTAAACTTCTTTATCAATTAAAATTGTAAACAAATTTGAAACCTTATGAAATTTGAATATTTACAAAATTGCTACTGTAACTTCTCCAAAATTCAATTATTTACTAGAATTTTTAACTAAAATTCTTCTCTAAATCAAAAATTTCTACTGTAACTTTTCCAAAAATCAATTATTTACTAGAACTTTTAACTGAAATTCTTCTCTAAATAAATTATTTTTTAATAATTTTTGAAAATTTTTTTAAAGAATTCAAATATTTATAAAAAAAGGAAAATTCATTTGAAATACTCAAAAATTCAATTATTTTTTTACTTTCTATTTCTATTTCAATTTACAAAATATTCGAAAATTCAATTTTGTCAAATTTCAATTTAAATTCACGAAACATTCGAAAATCGAAAATTTCGTTTCAGAATTCAATTTGAAAAATAAAATTTCGGAATTCAGAATACAGAAATTAAAAAGACGACAGATAATAAATGGAGTTTTCTTGTACAAATATGATTTATATAGTACAAAGTGTGATAGATATCAAATGCCGTTCCATTCAAAAATAGACTTTCATTTTACAAGTTCAAAAAATCAATCAATATACCTTCTCTGACATCTGCCAGAAATGTAATTCATTTCATCATTTAGGTGAATGAACTACTTAAAAGAATTACTTATTCGATTTGAAAGAATTTTAATCACCTTTGCCAAAAAAGTAAATATTGCAGAAGAAAAATATCTCACCAAGAGATAAGAATAAGAAATAAACGAAAAAGCTCTCTCTCTCTCTCGAAGGGAATAGAAAAATTAAAAAAGCAAGAAAAGAAAGAATCGAAAATTTTTCTAACGCAAAGTTATAAATTTGAAGATGAATATAGTGTTAGTTGTTATTTTGAGTGGTATGCCTTGTGAACAAGTAACGAAAGGGATAAGCGCCGAGGAATGCGATGATGGACACAGCGATGTTCAATTTGTGGCTGACATCGCTCTCAAACATGTAACGAATGTTGGCCCGAAGGAACGAGAAGTCTCTCTCTCGCAATCTAAATGACGAAGGTAGCGATAGAGCACAAGGCCGAAATAGCATCGCGGACAGCGAACCTTTAAAGCCAATAAAATCCCCATCACACACCCAAAGAGAGATATATATACGTTTATATGTATATATATTGTGTGTTATTGGTTCTCTTATGTGTTTTGAAACAGGAACGTCCTTTGTTCCATATAAAAGCTTCGTTTGTATATGTATGAGGGTTCTGCAACCTCTAAATCTATCTCGAATCGCATTTTCTAGGTCTCGGCCTCCATCAAAATAAACCGTTTTGGTCCATTTACTTCGAAAATCAGCTCATCAAGTATCCCAAGGATTTGTTATATAATTATTTCTTCAAGAACAATAGTAACACTATGTAATGTATCTTATGTAAAAACACTCAAATTCTGATGATGAACGAAAATCTGTAAACATTCATTGATGACAATGTTCTTGTAAATAATAATTATTTTAATAACTATTATTTTGTATTTATTAATTTAATTTTATGATGGAATTTCACTAATAATTATTATCATGACCTATTATTAATTTTAATTATTATTTAATTAAAAAATAACAATTATTTAAATAATTATTATTTTGTGATCATTAATTTAATTTTATAAATGGAATTTCACTAATTATTATCATGACCTACTATTAATTTTAATTATTATTTAATTAAAAAATAACAATTATTTAAATAATTATTATTTTGTGATTATTAATTTAATTTTATAATGAAATTTCACTAATTATTATCATGACCTACTATTAATTTTAATTATTATTATTTTTAAATAATAAAAAAATTATTAATTTAAAATAATAAAAAAAAAATTATTATTTTAAAATAATAAATAAAATAAACATTTTAAAATAAATAACAAAAATTATTTGAAATTGTTTTAAATAATACTTAAATATTTTAAACAATATTTGAATATATTGATACTTCAAAAATGATTTTTTTCAAATAATTTTCAAACACTTTTTGAACTTTACTTTTAACTAATAATCTCAATTTTATTTTATTTCTCTTTAAAATAAAAACGTTTGTAAAATTCACAACGTTTATTAATCAACGATTTAGGAGAAAAAATATTTTTCTATTTAAATTTTTATATATTTCAGTATAAAAAATGTTTTGCATAATTTTTGTTAATTTCAAAAAGAAAAATTTGTAAACAAAAATTTTATTGTTTTCGTCAAGAAAAAATTTTTTTTCCTTTAATCGTTGATCATAAACGTTGTGAACTTCACTTTTCTCTCTAAAATTGAATTAGTGAAAATTATTTTAACTTTTTACTAATTTCAAAATTCACAAAAAAAATCACTAATCTCAGTGCAGTTTACAAAGTTTCTAATAAAATAAAATAATAGATTTTTATTAGAAATTTTTCTTTTTAAAATAATCCATAAAAAAATTTATATAGAGATTTTTAACCTAAAATTTATAAAAATTTGCTTAGACAAATATTTTTTTTCTTAAATCGTTTATTTATCAGAAACGTGATTGTATCTTCAACTGCTTTTTAATAATGTTTCTTCTATAAAACTTTTGAATAACATCTTATCGTCAAAAAGTATTTTCCTAAATTTTTGAACGATCAAATGAACAAAATTTATTTTCTAATTCAAATATTTAAAAAAAAAAAATTTAATTAAATATTTACTTAGAAAGGTAATGAATTTTTTTCAATATACAAAATAAATTTTTCTATAGAAAAATATAAATTTAAAAGTAAAAAAAAATATCGTCGTTCATTTGAACGTTCAAAACTTTAGATAATAAGTCAGAATGTAGAAAATTATTTTTAAGAAAATAAAAAATTAAATTAAAAAATTATAAATAATTGAAGGAAAAAATTAAAAAGAAATTTAAAAAATAGAAAAAACTAAAAAATAATTTAAATTACATACGAAGATTTTACTAATTCAATTTTAGAAATAGTATAAAAGTAAAATTTCAACCTGTACCTAATATATAATATTGACAATATCTAACGGCAAAGAAATTAAATTATTCATTATTATTGCTATTGAATAATTAATATTGAATATTATTATTAAAGTTACTTTAAAATCTTAAATTATTTTTTTACCTCTAGTAAATAAGATGAAGAAAAATCTCAAAAGAATTCTTGAATTTGTCTTGGAAGCAGAATAAACCTCTCAGTGGGATTTTGAAAAATTTTTTGAAAGTAGAATAAATCTTGCAGTAGAATTTTCAAAATCGTATTGAAAGAATGAATTTCTTAGTAGAATCCTCAAAAACGTTTTGAAAGTAGAATAAATCTCTTAGTAAAATCCCCAAAAACTTATTCATAAGTAAAATAACTCCTTCGGCGCAGTTTTATCCAAACGTAGCATCTGTAACGAAAAAAGAACAATAAATTATAAGTAAAATTGTCCTTTTTCAAAAAAAGTATGTTAAAAAATATTATTTTTCCATTGAAAAATAGTAAATAATTTGATTATTTGACCCGTAAATAAACAAATTGTTCCAAATATTCAATATTTATTCAATTGACCAAAAACTAACTTTCGGAGCAATTTTTTGATTATTTACAAAAATAGTGTAAAATATGTGCAATGTAAATGTAAAATAAATAATAAAACTACATTTTTCATTAAAAATCGCGTTTATAATGAAAAATTCCCATGGTTTTTGTTATAATCGTCAAAATTTTCCTATCAATGTTACTTAAGCTCGCAACATAACCTAAAAACCACTTTTCACACTTTTTGAGTTTTTTCAACAAAAAAAAACGATCCAAACATATTTAAAATATTATAAGTATAAAGTTAGTCGATAGTTACAAATAATAAATTTACCGTTTCTATCGAAGATTTATGAAATAAACGTAAAGTTTGAAAGAAAAGTGCAACTTCGCCCGTCCCCTTTGTCTCCGTCTCTGTTTCGTGTTATACCGTACACTAAGGGGCAAATTTGCTTCCGATTTCTACATGTTAATACAAAATTCGTAAATTACCTCAGACTGATTATACTAAATTTGCCTCGTGTTTAGTAAAAACTACGGATGGAATATTAGAAAAAACGGAAAAAACACTTTTTAACACGCAGCAATGATGAAAAAACTCTGAAGCGTCGGCCATTTTGTTTTCTACTAATCAGTGTTGCCACACTTACTATTTTTCTTATGACGTCACGATTACCAATAGAAAAATCCGAATCAATACTGCATGTCTTTGAACTCAATCATATCTCAATTTTTTATAGTTATAATTAATAATAACAAAAATACTATAAATTATCTTTCACTGATACTTGTTTTGACTCGAATTTAGTAAAAACTACCGATTGAAAATTAGAAATAAACACTTTCAAAAAATGAATGCTGTAGAAACTCTAGGGCGTCGGCCATTTTGTTTTTTACTTTTTGCCACCATTGCTACTTGCTATTCTTGTGGCGGCACGATTCAAAATACAACAATAAAAAAAACGAAAAAATATTAATAATACTATGCAAATTCCAACATTTTCTACTTTCATATATGAATTTTTGAATAATTTTAGATTCAAGCTTCAAAAAAATTCAATTATTAACTAATTTACTAATGAATTATTCTTGTTTATTAATTGAAAAAATTTCAATAAAATTCTTCGCAAAAATTCAATTATTTTCATAAATAATAACATTCTTCGTAAGTAATAATTATTATCTAAAATTTTAATACATCCCTCGAAACAATTCAATTATTTTATTTAAATAGTCAAATCTTTGCAAAACTTCAATTACACAGGTCAACAAAAAAAGACTTACTTTTTTTTTATGAGATAGCGGAATGGTTTCCTATGTATTTTTGGACGCTGAACACGATCCCGACTTCCAAATTTGCCCATCACATCAGGATTTTGAGAAAAGTGGGGGTAAAGACCCCAAAAACGCTTTTTTGAGGATTTTCAACATTTCTTTTCTCTTTAACCTGACGTGCTAGAGACTTCCACAAGGTCTTAAATTACAGCTTGTAATGTGCACTACAAGACCAATATCCATAAAATAAAAAAAAATTAAAATTTTTTTCAAAAAATGGGGTTGAAGACACCAAAAATTTGTGTTTTTGGATTGCTTTAATAGACTTCTTGCAATCGCTTGGATTCGCTTGAAAATGGGTACTTGGGGTTTTTGGGGTCGCTGATTACGAATCCAATATTTGTTTGCAAAAATTTAAAACGGCGAAACCAAGATGGCAGATGTAAGAATTAAGAATTGCTTGGATTCGCTTGAAAATTGTTATTTCAGGGTTTTTGGGGTCGCTGATTACGAATCCGCCATTTTTAATTTTTGCAAACTAATATCGGATTCGTAATCAGCGACCCCAAAAACCCCAAGTAACCATTTTCATGCGAATCCAAGCAATTGCAAAAAGTCTATTAAAGCAATCCAAAAACACAAATTTTTGGTGTCTTCAATCCCATTTTTTGAAAAAAATTTTAATTTTTTTTTATTTTATGGATATTGGTCTTTTAGTGCACATTACAAGCTTTAATTTAAGACCTTGTGGAAGTCTCTAGCACGTCAGGTTAAAGAGAAAATAAATGTTGAAATTCCTCAAAAAAGCGTTTTTGAGGTCTTTACCCCCACTTTTCTCAAAATCCTGACGTGATGGGCAATTTTGGAAGTCGGGATCGTGTTCAGCGTCCAAAAATACATAGGAAACCATTCCGCTATCTCATAAAAAAAAAGTAAGTCTTTTTTTGTTGACCTGTGTTATTTTCATAAAGAATTTCACGAAACAATTCAATTTTTTCTTAATTCATTATAAAATATTTTGAAGAAATTCAATTATATTTATAAATATTAAAATTCTTAGCAAAAATTCAATTATTTTTAATAAAGTTTTATTAAAAGAATTCAATTTCTTTTTTAATGTTTAATACAATTTTTAAAAAAATAATTATTTTCCAAAATTTTTATAAAATTCAATAATTAAATGTTCAATTTTAATTATTAACAAACACGATTATTTTAAAAACTTGAAAGAAATTGTTTATAAAATTAAATTTTTTTCAAAATTTTTAATTAAAATTATTAAATTTAGGAAAATAACTGAATTCTCAAGAAAAATTTTACTATTTATAAAAATAATTGAATTGTTCGGAAGAATTTATTAAAATTTTAGAAAAAAAAGAATTTTATGTTAATTTTTGAAAACTTAAATTCTTTCGAGGAATTCTATTAAAATTGTTTTGAAAAGAATTGAATTTCTGCAAAGATTTTACTATTTATAAAAATAATTGAAATGTTTCGAAGAATTTATTAAAATTTTAAGAAATAATTAAATTGTTATGAAGAATTTTATAGAAATATTTAAAAATAATGAAATTTTTTCGAGAAATTCAATTAAAATTGTTTCGTAAATAATTGAATTTCTTTAGAGTATTTTATTAAAATTAAGTATATTCAAAATAATTGAATTCATCACAAGAATTTTATTATTTTCTAAAAGCAGTTGAATTCTTTCAATTTTTTTGACGAATATATTTAAAAATTGCATTGAAAGTAATTTAATTTTTATATTGAATTTTTTAAAAATATTTTGAGAATAATTGAATTATTTTCAGAGAATTTTAAATTCTTGTTGAAATTGAATTTTATTGGAATATTTAAAAATATTTGAATTCATGCGAGGAATTCTATTAAAATTGTTTTGAAAATAATTGAATTCCTGCAAAGAATTTAATATTTATAAACTTATTTGAATTCTTGAGAAGAATTTTACTATTTATAAAAATAATTGATTTTTTTCGAAATGTGTTGAACACATTTTTAAAAATTAAATTCTTCTGAGAAATTCAATTAAAATTGTTTTGAAAATAATAGAATTTTTGTAAAGATTTTACTATTTAAAAAAATAATTGAATTTTTTCGTGAAATTTTATTAAAATTTTTAAAAATATGAACAATAATAATTAATTTTGTACTCAATAAATGAATTTTTAAAGCCTTTTTTAGTTATTAATAATCTATATTATTTGCTTATTCTTTGGTCCCTTTTTTCCCTCCTCCCATTCTTAGGAATGCGTCAAATTTCTTTTTCGTAAAAAATCCGAATCAAATACAAAATCTATTACTAAAAAATTGTCACCATATTTTATTTTCGTAATTCGATTTGGTATTTTTTTTACCGTTTTGATTAAATTGAATTTTAATCATCATCATCACACACAAATAACTCATTAGTGATTAAAAAAAAAGAATTTGAGAATTTCAACATATTTCAGGATTAGAATTTTTGTGAAATGAAATTCTTTTTTTTAAGAATATAAAATGAGAATATATATGATAATATGATTGATGGTGATTTTATATTAAAGTGAGGGGCACAAGGTCACTTTGTGCCACGCGCCCGAATGATTCGGATTCACTGTTGTGAATCTCAGCGAGCTCTGGAGTGCCTTGTGTCTGGCCCGATCTTGACAAGCGGTCTGGCCACCCTGCGTCATTTATCTTTTATCCGACATGCAAACATTGAATAATAGCGACCCGGGGTTACGCGTGCTCTCAATCCTTTTTATACGACATGAATTTAAATCTCAAAATGATTTATAAAATCCTGATGACAAAAAAAAAAAATTTCTTTGCAGTAAAATTCTTTTTGAATTTTTTTTTCTTTTTGCTGAGAATAATTTTGAGATAATTTTTTTTATAAGAAACAAATTAAACGTACATTTCACATTAAGTGCAATAATGAATTAATATTCATTATTGCGCTTATTAATAATTTAATATTTATCGATTTTCTCTTTTGACGTCTATTCAAAAACGATAGTAATATAAATCTTTTTGACCTAGAATTTTAACCGCGTATATTTCATATATTTCAAATATTTTTCAACGTAAAAATTTCAGAACAGGGCGAAATTTTCTAGGTCAATTTTTGAGAGCCTCGGGTTCGCAGTAATATTTTTTTTTTCATTTTTCAAAGTAGAACAGGTACTTATATATGCTCCATAAAAAAACGGGCTATGCTTTGAAAAATTTTTGCTCTGAAGAGCCGGCAATTTAATAATAGAGCCAGGAAGGTAGTCCAGGTCGAAATTTCACGAGGAGAATATATATATACCTTTTGTACAGTTAACGTTGTTCCAAAAGAGAAAGAAAAATTTTTTCAACAAAAGTTAGAAAGCGTGAGCACATTTTTTTCGTGAGTTGGAAAAAAAACAATAATAATGAATATTCATTTCAGATTATTGTTAAAGAATTTAAAATTGAAATAAATCCTGAAATTTTATGACCACCATGAAATAATTACAAAATGTAATTGATCGTGTTAATTAATTGAAGGAGAAGGAGATAAAAAAAATTTTTTTTTCGAGAGATTTACTTGAAAAATAAAGTCGCGCGTAAAGCGTAAAATAATAACGACGTTGGTATAATTTTTGTTCTCTCTTCTTTTATTTTTGAGGAGTGATGTCCGGCACGCAATGCGCGTTCGTAAAAATTTTTATGGTGGTCATGTCAGTTGTTGGAGAAAAACCACAAGAGTTTAAATCAAGTATCCAAATGACTCGTTTCGGACATTTAATTATATCGGAATTTTTTTTTCTTTCTCTTTCTTTATTTCCTTGAAAAGGCAGAGGGGATATTTTTTTGCGTTGAACGATTTCATATAGGAAAAAAATAAATAAATGGTATTACAAAAGGTGTATATATATTCCACCTTCCAGTTTAAATGCGCGACACCCACTGAATTTATGCCCATGAACTCTGATGAACCTCTGAACTCGTTTTTGTCTCGAGTTCAAGATTCCCGCCCTCGAGAGATTCATCGGAGGACAATGACAGAGGAATGGCAACTCCCGGATGCCATTGTTTATACCATTTACCTCATTCTGTCTTTCTTGAACATTATCTCCATTCATCGATCTGGACGTGAAAATTAAAGGGTTCACATTACCTTTTCCTTTCAATTTTTTTTCCTTCTTCTTAAACGCACTTAATTTATTGCACTGCAGTTGAAGAAACGAACCAATGGAGTTGAATTGCTAGAACAAAAAAACAGTCTTTTATTATATAAAAAATGTATACTCGGAAAAAAATATTTTGAAAAAATAAAATAATTTGGAAAATTTAGACAAGTTGTTTTATCAACAAAAAATGTATATTATTTCCATAATGAACCGTTTTTCTATTCTTTGAATAACAAAATATTTATTTTACTCAGCAGGCACTAAATAGAAATCGATTTCAATAAAATATTAATCCACTGAAAAAAAATATATTTTATTCAAATAAACGATCACTTGTCTACATTATCGAAAAAATATTTATTTGTACAAAATAATTTTTATTTAAGTCAATTAAATTATATTTATTTCAAATACTAAAATTATTGATTTAAATACAACTTATTGTGAATAAAATAAAAATTATTTGACTCAAGTAAATATTTATTCGATAATAAATTGAATAAAAAAATCTTTTTCCAGTGTAAAAACAAAATTGATAAATAATTAAAAAATTTAGATAGATTAGAAAGAAAATATTTATCATATTGATAATAAAAACACATTAATAATAAAATTATTTGAAAAAGGATCAATGAAGAAAAAAAATAGTTAGCAGAGCGTGGTTTCGATCCACGGACCTCTGGGTTATGGGCCCAGCACGCTTCCACTGCGCCACTCTGCTCTTGAAGATTTTTGAGAAATTGAACCATTTAAGGGAGCGCTACTACGTGAATCAATATTTCCTACGCAAATATTTTCCAAATTCTTCTAAAAAGTAATTTTCGAACGATTTCTTCAATAATTCTATTTACGTATGCTATACGAGAGGTAAATTTTTTCCCATCTGCTACTTTTCTCGAAAGAATAAATTTTAAATCCTCCCACTCGATTGTCAGAAAAAAGAAAATCCTATTAAAACAGATTTCATAAATAAATAATAAATAAAATACTATTTATTTTATTTACTAAACATAACTAATAAATATTATTTACTTTATTCATTAAAAATAAATAAAAAATATTATTTATTTTATTAATTAAGAATAAATAATAAATAAAATATTTACTTCATTTATCAAAAATAAACAAAATAAATTCGATATACAAAAATTTGTTCAGAAGAAAGATTCAGAAAAAAATATCAAATTTCACGATCACTGTTCACGCGAAATTCTCCCATCGGTAATAAAGAATTTTCCTCCATAATAAACAAAGTACGAAATAAGACGTGCAAATATAAAAATAATTGAATATTACATTCAGTTATAATAATAAACGTTTTCAATTTAAAAAGTATCGCGTCCTGGTGGATATAAGAAAATTAAAATGCTTTTTATATTGCAATTGTCAAGTAAATTGTATGCAAAAACTGATACTTTATGGAGAGATGACCTTCTTTTATACACGGACGTCATGTCTTAAACTGTCATATAGAAATTATTCGCGAGAACATAAATATGCCTCTCATATCAAAAAGAATATATACCCCTCATTTCAATTAAAAAAAAACTTTCTCATATAAAATCCCGCAATAATACACACACAAAGTCGAAAGTCAAAATTCGCAGTTTAACACCAAAAAAAAAGGGGAAAAAAAACAAAAAAAGAAAAAATTAAAACATTTACGAAAATTAATAAATAAATAAAAATAAATTCAATACGATTTCAAGAATACAAAAATTTAATTTAATTTATCTTAATAAGTGAATTTAATTAATTAATTAATTAAATACCTAATTTAAAATTATAAAATAAACAAAAAATATAACAAATCATTTTTTTTCGTTATTTTTAAAAACTTTTTTAATTTGTAATCTTTCAAATTTTTTTCATATTTATCTAATGGTTTTATTAATTTTTTTATTATTTTATTATTTCATTTTATTATTTCTTTGGTATTAATTTAAATAATTAATATTTTATATTAATAATAATATTATAATTATTATTAATTTGTTCTCGTTTTTTATTTCATAGGCAATTTTTTATTATTTTTTTATATTTAGATATATACCATTATTTCTCAATAAAAAAAATTGTTCACAAACTCATTCCTTTCTGTTGGAAAAAAAACATTACATATTCAAAGTTTTTTAAAAATAAAAGAAAAAAATGTTTATAAATTCTATTTGTCAATTACAAATTTTCTTTGAAAATGAAATTGAAGATTTTTGTATTTTTAGAAAATAAAGGAAAAACTTTTACTTAAAAAAATGTACTGTTACATTTATTTACGAATTTCTTTCATTTTAAAATTATTCGAAAAAATTAAAAACTTCTTTTTTAAAATAAATATTCAATCATTATTATTTTTCCCTAAGAATGACGATTTTAAAAAAATTTTAATTTCAAACCTTTTGAAACTAATAATTTATAATAATTAAAGATGACCGAGTGATAAAATCATTATTTTATATTATAACAATATTGTTGACTGTAAATTCTTTAAAATTATTTTCATCATTTCAATTCAATTATTATTTTCTAGAATTTTTAATTATTTTTTATGAAAATAATTGAATTATTGCAATTTTTTGCAATTTTTTTAAAATTTTGAACACAATTGAATTTTATTACTTTTGAAAATAATTGAATTTCTGCAATTATTTATAATTTCCGCAAAATTCAATTTTTTAGTGTTTTCAACGAAAATTTGAATTAAAATTTTTTAAATTCTATTGTTTTTAAAGTTGCTAATTTTATTTAAATAAGTAAGTAAGAAGTAAGCCGCGCGAATTGTTGCTAGTATTGTGAATAAAATTAATTTGAAAATAAATGAATGAACTGAATTAAATTAATGTGAAAATAATATGACAATTAAGAAAAGACTTTTAAGACAAGAAATTAAATTTAAAAAAATGTTGTGTTCAAATTTTTAAAAAATAACTAATAATTAAATAAAAATTAAGAAAAAAATAACAAAAAGAAAAAATCTGTTTCAAAATTAATAAAAAAAGTATAAAAATTGTAAATACACTTAAAACTTGTAATTAAAATCAAAAATCCCCTTTTCTACATTGTTTTTCAATTGCATTACGAAAGCAATATAAATTGACAAATATATTTTTGCAGTGACTGTTTTCGACATGAATGTGTTCTATTTTTAATCTACGAATGAGCATATTATAGGGATAGTAATGGTGACGTCTGACTAACCGTTCTATTTTGCGAGATCTATACACCGAGATGAGTAATCGAATCACATATCTTTGCCCACCAAATGTTATTACACGCACAAAATGCACATTGCAACGTTATCGCAAAATGAAGGGTTTACACCCACACACTCACACGCTTAATAGAATTTAAAAAGTTTATGGAAAACACACCGCACACAAAATAAAAAAAAGAGCAAAAAATATAAAAACTAAAACCAACTTTTCGCCCACGTCATGTCTGATAAATATATACGTTTTTCAGACACTTTTTTTTCCTCTCTTTCTTTTCGTTTTGCTTAAAAAAATAAACAGATGGGTAAAAAAAATTTAATGCATCGATGACTAAAACCATTTTTTTCCAAATTTAATTTTGTAAAGTTTATGTTACTTTTATTCATTTGATCATTTTTTTATAAGCGAAGTCAAAGAATAATTAGTGACAATTGTAATTTAGTTTTTATCATAATAAAAATTATTAAAAATAAAAAAAATTGGAGAAGTTCGCAACGTTTGTAAGCAACGATTTAGAAAAAAAACTATTTTCCGACGCAAATATTTTCCATTCAAAAAAATTTATTATTTTCCTTCTGAAAATAAAAAAAAAAAAACCTTTTCTTATCGTTGACCTTTACTTAAACGTTGTGAACTTCTGTAAATAAAATTAACGTCAATTTTATTCATTTGATAATTTTATAATCAAAGCAAAAGAATAATTCGTAATAAGTTATAATTTTGTTTTTTTATAACAGAAATTAATCGAAAAAGAAAAAAATTTTTTTGAAGAAGTTCACAACGTTTATAATCAATGAATTAGGAAAAAGAAATTTTTATAAACTTTTGAATAAAAATATTTTTATACAATGTCGACATTTTCTTATTCATAGTTATATTTTTAGTTTCTTGATCCAAAATTTATGGAAAAAATTTATTTTCCTTAAATGAAAAATATACAAATTTTTTTAATCGTTAACCATAAACATTGCGAACTTTCTCTATTTGAAAAAAAGAAATTACAATCAATATTAAATGTCAAATATTAGTCAATTTTTGCAGAATTAAAAATTTAATACAAAATGTTTTGCAAATTAAGTTAACAGAAATTTTTTCGTCCTGAATGAATTTAATTTCTTTTCTCGAAATTCAAAAGAGGAGAAAAATGTGTAAAATTGCATAATTTCCACAGACACACAAACACACCTGTACCTATAATAGTTTTCTACGCTAATTCATAGCATTTGAACTTTCAAATGATATTACACGTCGGCTTTCTTTATAGTATCAAATAGTTGTTCAAATGAAATCGTATATATATAAATTACTATTAGCTACAGATGTGTGGGCCTTTTATTCTTATTGAGAAAAACATATGTATTATGCAAATGCGGGCAAAACGTGCAAACAACTTGATCTGGATGTAAAATGTGCAACACAATTTTTTGGGACGCACTTTTCGTAATAATGAAACGAACGATAAATCTTATCTTCTCCTCTATTTAGTATAAACTAAAGTTAAACTATAAACTCCATCCAATATAAACATCCTGAACAATAAATAATGGAATTTTTCCAAACTTTAAAATCAAATATGGAGGAATATCAAATCACGACTTTATATTTATACACTATTATAATACTATACAGTGTATAAGGAATGTTAATTCTATAGGATCGAGAGTTGGGTGTGCGATTTGGCAAAAGTTACATTTAAAGTCACTCACGTGATGAAAATAATGAATTGGCGCACGATTCGAATAGAAATTCCACACATAAATGTCACAAGTGTCTGAAATTTTTTAGTTTCTGACTGGAAATGGGTCACCATGAAACTCCGGTCCCGAAATTTTCTGCAAAGAAAAGAAAGAATTTTAGTTTACTATATTAAAGTATTATATCGAAAAATATTAATGTTAAAAAATATATTACAAAATATTAATAAAGAAAAACTGGGTGTCTACTGAAAATATGATTTAAAATTTCAGGACATTACAGGACAGATTCTTTATTTTTCCAGGACATTAAAATAGATAATATTATTTTATATTACGATTAGCATATGATTATCATATGAAGAGTTAAAAATCTATATTGTAGATGCCTATTTCTTTAATCAAACTTCAAATTTGAATTATTTTTTGATAGATCACAAAAATTATTTTTTTAAGTTTGAGTAAAATTTATTATAAATATTGAATATTTTAAAGTAAAATATGGAAAATTCAAGGACAAAAATTGAAAATCCAGGACATTTAAGGAAATTTTTTCAAATTCCAGGACATTTTTAGGAATTCCAGGACCAGTAGACACCCTAAAAAATAATATCACAAAATATTAATAGTGAAAATTCAGGGTGGACACAAGTTTCAGTTTATAAATTTCCCTGACATTTCCCTGATAATTTACTGACATTAAAATTATTTTCCCTGACAAAATTCTTTTTACAGGAAAATGAGTAAAATTTATGAATTTTAATAATTTCTAAAATATATCATTATAACCCTTCCTGAATTCAACTATTTTCTACAATTTTCTACTAAACTTCATCTCTAAATTAATTATTTTAAATAATTTTCCTAAAGTTCTTCTAGAATCCAATAATTTTAAATATAAAACTCAATTGTTTATATTAAATTGTAACTGTCCATGTTTTTTTCTTAAGTTATTAAGATATAATATAATATTTTCAAAAAATTATAAAAAATAAATTCTAAAATTATTTTTAAATCATTTTTGAAAGATAATAGTTTTTTAATTATATACACGCGAAAAATTACCAAACAATTGAAATTTGGTTAAATTTTTTAAAAATACTTAATTGAATTTTTAAAAAATATAAATAAAAATCAAATTTTTGAAGAATTTTAAATAAAAATGATTTCTCCGAAATTTTAATAAATCTAAAACAGTAAATTTTTATAAATTTTTATTTACTTTGTTTAAAGATAATTGAATCTTAAAGAATTACGATAAAACAATTCTAAGAATTAGCTTTTAAAAATATTTTAATGTAATTTTTTGAAAATAATTAAATTTCTTAAATGAATTTTTGTATAATTTAAAAAAACTTTTTATAATTAATTTTTTTTATGAATTTTAATTAAAAATTTTGACCATGACTTTTTTTCCAAGTTGTTAAAAATAATTCTAAAATGTTATTACTTATATTTTGTAAATATTAGAATTTTCGGAAATATGTAATTAAAATTAGTGAAAATATTGAATTTTTAAAAATTAGAAACTAATTTTCATTAATTTTTATTTTTAAATTTACATTTAAAGATTTTTCATTAAAATTTTTGATAATTCAATTATTTTCTATAGTTGCAATTAAAATTCCTAAAAAGTTGATTTTTCAAAATTGTAACAAAATACTGGAAAAAAATGATTATTTTTAATTAAATTTTACAAAATTTTAATTATTTAAAACGATTTTTATTATTATATTTGACAAATTTAATAATCTTAAAAAATGATTCAAGAATTTCATAATTTTTTAAAGATTTCTTTATAGTTATTTTTTGCAATATAAAAATCGAAATAATTTTCATTTTATACTAAAAATGTGGTATTTTGTTGCAATATTTGTAGAAAAAAAAATAAAAAAAGTCGCAATTTTTGGAAAATAAGTTGAAAAAATTCTCAATTTTCTTAATTTCCCTGACAAAGATTTTTTTCCTGTCATTTCCCTGACTTTACTGACATGTGGCCACCCTGAAAATAATATTAAAAAATAATATTACAAAATATTAATAGTGAAAAATAATATTAACATTTAAAAGTAAAACTATTGAATACTGAATCGACAAAAAGTTAAATATCAACACAATGCTGATTGTTGTTTTTTTTTGACATTTCACCTCTAATCAAAAAGTTGAATAAGAATTTTTTTCAATTAAAAATTAAATAGAAAATATTGCAAGTCACATAAAATCCTCATTATAATGCGAGTTTTATCGATTGGCTCAAATGGAATATAGAAGAACGACATTACTGTACCTGTAATTACTGTTGGATTAAAATCGTTATTGCACCTACGTATACAACTCGTAAGAAAATCTAAACTCCCTCAATGTTGTGCAAGAGCATTTTCAAAGCTCCATTAAATATATTTTGCGAACAAAAAAAGAAAATAAATAAACTGAAATTGAATTATAAATATCTGTAATGCTCCATTATTCTGCGAACAAAAAAAACAGAAAATAAATAAACTAAGATTGAAATTGAATTATAAATATTGCGCCCTAATGCTCCATTATTTTGCGAACAAAAACAGAAAAAAACTAAAAATTGAAATTGAATTACAAATATTCCTCTAATAAAGTATAAATACAGTTAATAAAGTTTATACTCTTTATTAAAGTATTAAAGTATACTCTATCAAAGTATATACTTTATTAAAGTATATATACACATTATTAAATACATAAAAGCCAATTTAAAAAGAATTCCAACTTTTATTAATTATTATTCAAAGGTGTTTAATACGACTTGAATAAATAAATTGGTTTATCCCATCGAGAACATTTAATTAAATCAGTAGCACTCTTCTTTCTCGCAATAACCGCGACGAGACCCCATTCATATATTTTAAAACGTCGACGTAATTTAACAAGGATCTGGTTTCTGTTAACGATTTATCCAGACCAAACATTTATTTTCTGTCACCATCAAAGTGTGGCAATATATATAGGATCTTGTTTAGTATATACAAAATTTACTTGCAATTAAATTAAACGATAAATACCCGTATGTCAAATGAGAGAAAAAAAAGAAAAAAATCCAGAACAGTGATTAGACAATTAATTAAAAGTGAAACTGAAATTTTTTCTTTTCGTACGCGGTGATAAAAAATTCATTTACACAATAGGGTTATAAATTTTATTAAACTCACGTGCTAATTTTCTAAATGAACTTTCTTGTGTGTTTGGTTTGTAAAATGTTATACAAAAAGGAATGTCAAATGACAATTGTATGCGCGCAACTTACATCACTTTCATTTGACTTTCTTTTTTGAAACAACACATCGATCGCAATAATTTTCTTTTCGCTTAGAAAGTTTTTGGAATCGGAAATCGAGCCTGTGGAAAAAAAAGTGTTTACAAATGTCTATGTATGTTTTTGTATGATTTTCTTTCCGATTTATTCGAGAATGTATATAAGTTTATATCTCTTTGAATATTCGATGCGCGCGATATAACCGTTACTTTTCCCTCTCAAATTGAATTGAACGTGTCATCAAGTTTCAAATGAAAAAAAAGGTATATGTACTCGTATTTCATATAGGTATTCTTCTATTGAGCCAATCGAATTTTTTTTCATTTACTTTTTACAATTTAATGTTTTAGGAATCACACCTTGCGGTCTTTTAACAGGGTTGCCACAAAAATTTAATTTTGTTTTTCCTTGACTTTTCCTTGATTTAAAAACAAAATATTGATTTTTTCCTAAAGAATATTCTGATTCACTTTAAAAATTAATAAGTACTCAAAAAAATAATAATAATAAATAATAATAATAATAATAATAATAATAATTTAAATAATTACTTTTATTTACAAATTTCTTTAATTATAAAATTATTAAAAAACATCAATAACTTCTTTTTTAAATAAAGGTAATAAATATTTAATCATTATTATTTTTTTACAGGAAAGAAAGATTTTTAATTTCAAATTCAAACCTTTTGAATATAATAATTTATCAAAATTAATAATAATAATGAAGTACATGTTCCGGTAATCTGTTCGCATTTTCCTTTTCAAATATTTTCAATTTTAAAATTAATGTATTGAAAATCATCGAATTGTTGCAAAGAATTTTATCAAAAAATTTAATAATAATAGAATTCCTACAAAGAGTTTCATTATTTAGAAAAATAACTGAATTATCGCGAAGAATTTTATTAAAATTTATAAAAATCCTAATTAAATTCTTTTGAAGAATTTCTTTAAATTTTTTTTAAACTAATGGAGTTACTTTAATAATTTTAATTGAACATTTTGAAAGCAATTGAATTTTATTAAAATTTTAATTAAAATAATTGAATTCTTTTGCGAAGAATTTTACTATTTATAAAAATAATTGAATTGTTCCGAAGAATTGATTAAAATTTTAAGAAATAATTAAACTGTTATGAAGAATTTTATAGAAATATTTAAAATAATGAAATTTTTTTGAGAAATTCAATGAAAGTTGTTTCGAAAATAATTAAATTTTGAGTTCATCACAAGAATTTTATTATTTTTTTGAAAATAATTGATTTCTTTAAATTTTTTTGTCAAATATGTTTAAAAATTGCGTTGAATGTAATTTAATTTTTATAAAAAATTTTTTAAAAATATTTTGAAAATAATTGAATTATTTTTAGAGAATTTAAAATTCTTGTTGAAATTGAATTTTATGGCATTTTTTGAAATAGTAATTAAATTCTTTCGTAAAATTTTATTAAAATTTTTGAAAATATGAACAGTAATAATTAATTTTGTACTTAATAAGTGAATTTTAAAAATTTTTATTATGAAATTATTTAAAAAATTTATATTTGAAAATAAAAAATTTTGTAATTTGCAAGAATTCAATTACTTTTCACAAATAATAAAATTCTTCACAGGATTTCAATTATTTTTAAAAAATGTCATAAAATTCGTTGCAATAATTCAATTATTTTCATAAATAATAAAATTCTTCACATAATTTTTAATTATTTAAAAAAATGTAATAAAATTCATCGTAAGAATTCAATTATTTTAATTAATAATACAATTTTTCACAGGATTTCAATTATTTATTATGCAATGTTTAATAAATCTCTCGAAAAATGTAATTATTTTCAAGTATTGGCAAATTTTTGCAAGAACTCAATTACTTTTCACAAATAATAAAATTCTTCACAGGATTTCAATAAGTATTTCAAGAAAAAAAAATGTTATCAAATTAATTATTACCTGAAATTTTAACTAAAATTCATTTTTAAATCAATTTTTATTAAAAATTTTACTAGAATTCAATTATTTAAATACAAAAATAAATAATTTATCATATAATTGAATGTTTCTTGAAATTGAATTCTCATAAAGAATTTTATCAACAAATTTTTAAATGATTGACTTCTTTCGTCGAATTTTAATAAAATTCTTAAGAATAAAATTACATTTTTTAAGGAATTCGATAAAAATTGTATTAAAAATAATTAACATCCTGCGGTGAGTTTTATTATTTATGAAAATAATTAAATTACTGAGAACAGTTTTATTATTTATAAAAATAATTGAAACTGCGAAATTGAGAAGAAATTTATAAAAAATTTGTGAATAATTGAATTTTTGGGAAATTTTTATTATTTATATGAAAATAATTAAGTGTATGCGTAGAATTTTATTAAGATTTCACTTAAATAATTGAATTCTTTTAGACAATTTTATTAAAATAGTAGATATTAAAAATCATTGAATTGAGGAAAATTTTTGAAAATAATTGAATTTTGAAGGAGAATTTCATTATTTATAAAGATAATTCAAATTTTGACGAGTATTTTTTTTTTAAATTTTTGAACATAATTAAATTTTTGCATTCATTTGTAACTTTTCTAAAAAAATTAAAATTTTTTTAACTAAAATTCATAGGTATTTAAATTTGTTTTTTATTCATTTATTTTTATCCATAAGTAATAATTTATTGAATTCGATTAAAATTGTAATTTTGCGTTAAGTTTAATTTCTATTTTTCAAAAATCTAAATTCTTTAAAATTTCTAATTAAATTCATTCAAAATTGAAATTTTGTAAAATTTAAAATTAAAACCTTTTAAAAGGTTATTTATGAAAATTGAAAACGCAACTCTTTTAAAATTCAATTAATTTAGAAATATTTATGTAAAATTATCCATTAAATAATTTATAAGTCATAATTTTATGATTTTGAAAAATTAAGTTTAAGGGGAGAACTCGAGGGAAAAAAAGAAAAGAGAAAAAAAAGAACCAACTGTGAACCCTGCGAGATTTTTTCAAACTTTGTTTGAACTTTTCAAAATGTTAAATTTTATAGCAATTAAAAAATAATTTTATTTCATTTTTTATTTTTTATGTTCGAAAGAAAAATTTATTTTCTAAATTTGGAATATTTCTTCAATTTCAGAATTGATGAAGAAGAAGAAGGAGAAGAAGAAAATCAAATTCGAAATCTAGACAAGAATATTCAAAAACTAGTGACAGTATATTTCACTAATGAAAAGAAAGAAAACGGAAATGGTTTTCTTTTGAGAAAACAAGAATGACTCTCTGTGAGTTTCGTGAAGTGAATATATCACGAATGAATTGTTTTGTTTTCACCCTGATGAATAAGAGCGTGTGCTTGACTTCGATAGGAACCCTGGTCGCATGAAAGTGGAATTCATTACTTTTCCATTTTACAAAGTAACAACGAGTCACAGTTCTATATATTTTCTTATATACGTGCGCAAAACGAAAGTAAAATCATTAATCTGTCGAATGATACACGACTCTAGAGTTTATGTTATATACCTTCCTCTATCATTTCTACCTATAGGGTTTATGTACTAAACGGATAATTAATGCAAGTGAAATGCTAGTTAATTAAAAGAGGGTAAATGACTTTGGCTACTTGAACGAGTAATTGCCTTTCGGTCCCAACTTGAAAACCCCAACGACTATATCTGATTGATACATCATATATCTTATTTCAATTTTAATTTCCTCCCATTCATTTCTTTAACTTCCCGCAAAGACTAATTAGATTTCCTCAAAAAAATTCCCACACTTCTTTCCGTTTGTGGCAATTTATACATTTACCAACAAAATTAAATATTCAAAATTCAGTATTGGTTTCAAATTTCAGTTTTAACTATAAATAAAATTTAATGAAACTGAATATAAACGAAATAAAATTCAATAATTGAAAATAATTTATGGATGTAATTTTTTTGATGGGAGAAAAAAGTTTATACATAGTACCTAATCAGAATTCCTGACAATCAGCAACTTGACCTCCAGGTTGTAAAGATGCTTCTCAAATTGAAGATGCCAAACATCAGAGTGAGAAAACCTGGCCTATAGTTTCCTCTGGTTCCTCTAATAATAGTGCAGACAACCCTTGGTCGATGTACAAGATGAAATGCCACCTAGGAACCGAAGCACATCCAAGGTTAAGATGCTCCCGGGATTAGAAGAAGCTCCGAGATCATTATCGGCATGCATACGCTAATTCCGCGTGTTTCTCAATCCAGCTGAAAAAAATAATAAAATGTAGAAGGGCAAACTTTCGCATTTAAAAAAACACTCATTCAAAAATTAGAATTATTATTTACAAGAATTTTTAACTAAAATTCTTTTTTAAATCGACTATTTTTAATAACTTTCGAAAAAGTTCTTTGACAATTTTCAAATCCATTTGTTTACAATATTCAATTTTACGAATTTTCAATTATTCGTAAATTCTTCAATTAAATATATATTAGAAAATAAAAACTTTAAACCAAGAATCAATTTTTATTAGAAAATTCTACTCGAATTATTTGAAACCTTTTCAAAATTCAATTATTTCTAAAAATTCACGTTATATTGCTTTTAATATTCAATTTTAACTGAAATTCATTTTTAAATCAATTTTTATTAGATAATTCTACAAGAATTCTATTATTTAAATACAAAAGTAAATAATTTATTAAATAATTGAATGTTTCTCAAAATTTAAATTTCATAAAGAATTTTATCAGCAAATCTTTAAAGAATTGAATTCTTTTGTCGAATTTTATTAAAACTTGCATGAAAATAATTACTTTTTTTAAGAAAATCAATTAAAATTGTATGAAAAATAATTTAAATTCTGCAATGAGTTTTATTATTTGCGAAAATAATTGAATCCCTAAGAAGAATTTTATTACTTTTGAACAATATTTAATTTTTGCGAAGAATATTATTACTCTTGAAAATAATTGAATTTTTGCAATAATTTGTAACTTTTACAAAATTGAATTTTTTTTCGTAATTTTTAACTAAACATCTTCTATAAATCCATTATTTTTAATAATTTTTGAAAAAGTTCTTTAAGAATTTTCAAATTCATTTGTATACAATAAAATTTTACAAAATTTAAATTATTCGTAAATTCTTAAATTAAATATATATTAGAAAATAAATACTTTAAATAATTACAAAAAAAATCCGTAATTAAAGTTTTTCAAAAAAAATTAATTTCACAAAATTGTTAGTTAAAAATATGAAAAATTTAAATTTTTAAAGATTTTAATCTGAAACTTTTTCAAAATACAATTATTTCTACAAATTTACGATCAAATGCTTTTAAAATTCAATTATAATCTAAAATTTTAACTGAAATTCATTTTTTAATCAATTGTTATTAGAATATTCTACTAGAATTCAATTATTTAAATACAAACTTAACAATTTATTGAATAATTGTATGTTTCTTAAAATTGAATTCTCATAAAGAATTTTATCAACAAATTTTTAAATAACTGAATTCTTTTGACGAATTTTAATAAAACTTTTAAGTTAAAATTTTTATTTTAATTAAATTTTTATTAAAAATAATTGAAATTCTGCAATGAATTTTATTATTTATGAAATTAATTGAATTCCTAAAAAGAATTTTATTATTTACGAAAATAATTGAATCCCTGTAAAAATTTTATTATTTATGAAAGTAATTGAATGATTGCGAAGAAATTTATAAAAAAATTTGTAAATAATGAAATTCCTGTGAAATTTTTATTATTTTTTGAAAATAATTAAAAATTTGTGTAGAATTTTATTAAATTTTTTTTAAATAATTGAATTCTTTTGGAAAATTTTATGAAAATAGTAAATATTGAAAATCATTGAATTGAGAAAAATTATTGAAAATAATTATTGAATTTCGGAGAAGAATTTAATTATTTCTAAAAATAATTTAAATTTTGATGAGAATTTAAAAAAATTTTTGAACAGAATTGAATTTCTGCGAAGAATTTTATTTCTTTTGAAAATAATTAAATTTCTGCAATCATTTGTAATTTCTCATTTGCTTCTTATCTTTCTTGGGAGCGCGCCACAAATATTATTATAAATATTAAATAACATAAATATTATTCATATTATTTTATATTATTTATAAAAATAATAGAAACATTATTTATATTATTTATAAAAATAGTATAATCATAATGCGTCAATGTCTTTCTCTCCTAGTTCGTTGACACTTTTACTAGAACTGGACTCTCAGCTTCCTTTATTATCTGTTAACCGATGGCGATTAATAAGTCACGGCAATAAAATCCAACGTCCTAAAGTTATACCTGCTTATTGTCGTTTCTCGTTTTTTTTTTTCTCTCTCTCTCTCTCTCTCCAACCATATAAAGCCGCAGTCGAAGACCTTGTGTTAAATATTAAAACCCATAACGATTGTTATTAACAGAGACTGAAAAGATGTCAGAAATTACGCAACAAAACCCGAACGCAGGATAGTTAAAAAACAAAAATTAAATATGTGACAAAATAATAACATGAATTAACTTTAAATAGGAAATTATTATATATGTGTATTCATAGAGAGCTTGAAGTGCCCACTTTACATTTTTAAGAGAAACATTTATTTAAGAGGTTTTAAATTTTTTTTAAAAAAACTTTCATTTAAACGATTTAAACGTTTTACACTTACGCACCAATATGCCCACTATTTTAAGTTTCTGCGTAAAAAAAGTTAATTACCCTAACCTAAAATTTGTCTAACTGTAAATAATCATTGAAAATAAGTAACAAAGTAACCTTGTGGAAAATAATACGAAAATAATTAAGAACTTATAGTGAATAAGAAAATCGAAAGGAATAAAACATTTTTATGAAAATAATCGAAAAAAACCATTTCGTCAAGAATGCAATTCCAAGCTGAGAATTTGTATACTTACACTTGAGTATTTAACGGCAAATTCGTGATTGATTCGATATTATGATCAAACAAAGTTGCAAACTCGTTCACAGAATTATTAAACAGTGTTCTTTATCATTATTTACAAATTACAATACATATTTGTATTTTCATATTCAACAAATTTATATTTACACTGCTTTATTTACATTTCACGGTAATGTGTTTTTTCGTCACCGGAGGGCGCCAGAAGCTAACTTTTTCCCGCGCAAAAAGAGGGGGCAAATTTTCGTCTACAGTAATAGCAAAAAAGTGAAAAAGTAAGACAAAACATACTTACAACAAAAGAAACGCATGCTTTCCAGGTTAAACTAGTGAATATCGTGGGTGAAAAGTTGAAAACTATTAATATTGATAATTAATCGATCAAGATCAGTCCAACCGACGCCGCCGCCAGCATCCGGTCCATGTTCTTCTTCCACCCATAGAATATCGTTGCAATTATCATAGATGTGAAATTTGGACTGTGATTAGTGATTATGTTGATAATGTTGACTCCGGGTCATTCTTTTTTCATTCCATCCGCAATCACGCAGATTCCACCTTGTTGCGTCGCGCCCCACCATGATAACTTTGCGAGGTGGAAGACTCGGTTCACCGAGCTTTGTCGAACTTGCCCGAAGCGCCGCCGAGCGCAGCAGTCGGAAATGTTCGTTTCGTTCGTTCCTCAGTTCCTTACGGCAAGTCGATCAGTTTGGGTGTTTGTTACTTTAGTTGATTTCGAATTTATTCAAATTTATTATTATTAAATATATACATATATAAAAAGTGATTCCGGTAAATTTACTAATTAAATTTGTAGCCTATATCAAGAGTGACGATAATTTGATTGAATCAATAACGTTAATAGGCAGTGCGAACTCTTGTTTTCCGGGATTTTTTTATAGTGACGCTCCCTTCGCAAACGGCTGCTCTTGAATCTCTCTTCGATTTGGATTTCCACCCTTTGGATTTAACCACGGATAACCAACAAGGAATTAACATTAAAAAGGTAAGAAAATTTGTCAATCTCAATCTTCGGTAATAGGGTGGGAAATTTTTATTTTCAGTTGAAAGTTATTTTTTTCGGAAGTGTTTTTTCCCGCTCGTTTTTCTTTTTGGAGTGGGTTTTTAGTTTTTCTTTTTGAGGTTAGAGATACAATTGTTTTTAGAATGAAAGCTTGTAATAGTGAACCGGTGAAGCCGTAAAAGTTCATTTTGCCCAGATTAAACTTCCAGGCTGTTCTCGTAGGAAACGTTATCCGTTTTATAGAAAGCCTACAACTTCATTAACAGAATTTTTTTTAAAGAGACAGAAATTTGATTAAATCTCTAATTTGCGACCATCTTCCGTTTTGCGGAGGCGATCATGACAATGGCCAATTAAGGAAACTTAACCTCAATTTTTTCTAATATCCTAAAATGGAAAGCTTTACTAAAACTAAAGTGGTTTCTTAAAAACCGAAAATTGATCTTAGATTGCTATTATTATCTTATTAAGTGGGCTCATTGCGGGCAATTAATGGATTTATGGAAAAAATGTCTCGACTGGTATAACCAGATGTCGTTTTTCTCTCTAAGCTTTTCATAAATTAACGATTAGCTGTTACTTAAGGAAAAAGAAAAAGTAAACATCTTTAGAATTTTAAATTTCTCGACTGTCCTTAATTACATATAGCTTGCAGCAAAGAAATTTTCTATTTTATTCACTCTGTCCACAATTAATTATTGAAAGAATTTAAAACAAATTTATTACCGAGTGTTAATTTTAGTGTTTTTAACAAATTTTGCTATAAATGAGTACAAATACCTATTTGGTCGCATATTATCCAATTAGTCTATTATTTAAATTTTTTCTCTTTTCTTTGAAAAATGAGGTTCGGTTTCAAGTGCATAAATACAAATATATGATCACGATCAATGTCTATTGAAGACTGCATTTGTTTCAATTATGCTACATCACCGCAAGCGACGGTAATCAGTTTCATCATTTTTTCTCTAATATTCTGTTATCTCAAAAGAATTTTAAACTTTCTAGAAAAAATTCAAATATTTTTCTTAATATCTTAATTTTTCTTTAATAAGGAAATGTTTCCGCAAAAATATAAATTTATATTTTGTTTTCCTTTTGGATTTTTTTAAAAAGAAATTAATCGAATTTGTGCAATTGAATTCAAATCAAGTTTGTAGTTTTTTTACTCGTCGTGAAAGTTAGTTGTTAGTTTTCTTTTTCAGGTTGGTTTCATTAATCGAAAAATAATTTTATTTCGAATGAATTTTAAATTCATTTCATTCAAATACTTTTTCCTTACAAATAAAAAAAAAATCACTAATGAATAGAATTTTTTAACTGATCGGATAAAATTTTTCCTTTTAAAAACTACACGAGTCTTTTTTTCTGTCACGTTAGCAATTCTTTTTTCGTTTGGAATTTGTAATTTGATTTTATTAATTCTGATAAATTTAATGAAAAATTTTCAACTATGTATTTCGTAAATTTAATTTTATTTCTAAGACACTTGAGCTTTTTTTCTAAAATACACAAAAAATAACATTTTATTTACTTTTATTTACTTATCTAGAGAAAAATAAATTGAGAGAAGAACAAAATAATCCATTCAAAATATTTTTCTGAAGACAAAAATATTACACTCTTGGCAAAATTTTGAGGTTTTTTGCAATAATTTATCATTCTTTTTTTTCTCATCTTACTTTGATGTGCGAAATTAGTCGCATCATTTTGTCATTAACTTTTTTTTTTCTCTCTTGCCAAGCCAAAGCTGAATTCTGAAAGGATGCTGATCTTGAAAGATTAAAAGACAGATATTATCATACATGAGTAATTTTACCGGTTCAATGAACTTGGCAAGGTTGCCTTTTGTGTAGGCACACACATACACTCACTCACTTATTCGCGGAGATGCTCAATTTCATTCTTCATCGATTTTCGAACGCGAAACGAGAGCCTGACAAAACCGGTTGTCTTAAAAAAAAGAATTTTTTAAAAAATACAAAAAGAAAAAAAAATCTTTTCGTCATAGAAAGTGATTTAGACGAGATCATGTCAGACGCATGAGATTCCGTGACTCGGCGAGAAGTTTTTGATAACGTTTATAGATTTTCAAGGAGATAATTTTGTAGGTGAAATAATTTATTTGAAATTATTTTTTTGTATAGTGTGATATAGAAATTGACGCGGGGGGGAATTGTGAATGTAGAAAGGTCTTGTCAATGGGGGGTTTTAAATTAATTGAACTTTGAGATAAGAATTAATGTGCATTGTTTTTGAAACAATTTACGAAACATGAAAAGCTTTGTCTTCCGCATTTCTGTTTTGGATATATCTATTGATTAAAGATTAGCCACGCGCTTTAACTATATATATGAATGCGGCACAGACAATTGCAAAGATATATTTATAGTCTCAACATTTCACGAACCGACAATGTCCTGTAATCAAGATTTAGCAAAAAAATTTCTAATTCGTATAAATTTGAATTTTTTTTAATCCCGATTATACAAGGTATATAAATTATTTCAGAATATTGTTACCTAGTGATATTTACGGTTGTGTTAAAATCTTGTTTGGTATTTTTTTTGCTTCACTCTTGATTTTAAATGTCAAAATTCACGCAATTTTCAATTATTACGATTTTAAATTCCTTTAGAAACAAGTGTTAAAATTCTCAATTCTATTGTTGTAGAAATTTAAAAATAACCAAAAATAAAAATAGCGAATAAAAAATGAAGAAATTAAATTGAATTTTTTTTTCTGTTTGAGGGAATTTTTTGGCATAAATGAAAAAGAAAAGTTTTGAGGAGGGGTTTTTTTTGGTTTCATAAATGGGAAAAAATACGATGACGTTTTAACGTTTCTTGCGTGACAAAAGAGGAGAGAAAATAACGGGTTTCAAAAATTGGATACAATTGAGATGACAATTTGCGGAGGTTGTTTCTTTTTTTTCTTTCTTTCTTTTTCAAGCGAGGGAACATTAACCTCAGTGACATCTTCGACTTTTTGGGGGACCCGAGAGGTTATGTACCGTACGTTGATCGTAAAACTCGCGATACGAGAGGTATGCATACAAACGTGCGTGGCCCGCGTATTACGAATGAATGTGTGAGGTGCATTTTGCACACCAAAAAGATGCATCAAAAACATTTGAGGTACCGTTTTTTTTCGCTTTTATTCTTCCTTTTTTTCAATGTAACGCAACAACATTCTCAACACAATCCGAATAATATAAAGGAATATTTTATCAAAAATTGATTTGTAATTTTTAATTTCTAATTGTAATTGAAATGCAAATTGTAATTATAATTGTAATTGCAATTCTAATTGTAATAATTGTAATTCAAATTGTAATTGTAATTGTAATTGCAACTCAAATTATAATTGTAATTCAAATTACAATTGTAATTGCAGGCTTCGCACTCGATAATTAATTTTTTGAAAAAGTAGCTTTAAGACTGAAAAAGTAGTAAAAAATAGTTATCAAAATTAACTTTCACGATTAAAAAAACTCGTTTTAGTTGATTCACAATAATTAAAAAAATTCGATTCTGTAGCTATTTCCCAGACTTTTTCCTGATATCCATAAAAAAATCCACTTTTTTGCTTATGGTGATTAATACTTAAATTTTAAATATTTGGAAAATTTAATTACTTTCTAAATTTTTAGTTACAAATTTTTATAGTTTATAAATAAATTTATTCAGAATTTGAAAAATATTTGTTAAATAAATTATTTTAATTTGCTTATTTTATATACTTATTTTAATTTGCAATAAAACTTCTAATATTTAATTATTATCTAAAATTTTAATTGAAATTCATTCAGTAAAAAATAAATAATTAATACAATAGCTTATTATTTCTTAAAATTGAATTTTTATAAAGAATTTTATAAAAATTTTTGAAAATAATTGAATTTTTTCAAAGAATTTTAATAATTAAAAATACTTGCAATTTTCAAGGAAATCATTTTTAAATTGCATTAAAAATACTTAAAATCCTGCAAAGAATTTTATTATTCATGAAAATAGTTGAATTTAATTATTTGAGTACAATAATTAATTGATAGAACAATTATTTTCTAAAATTGAATTCCTATAAAGTATTTTAATAATATTTTTAAGAATCAATTGAATTTTGCGAGGAAATTATTAAAAATTTTCTGAATAATAATTGAAATTGAAAATTTTATTATTTACAAAAATAATTGTATTCTTGCAACCAATTTTGTACAAAATTTTTTAAATAATTGAATTCCTGTGGGAAATTTTATTATTTGTGAAAATAATTGAGTTGTTTTTTTGAATTATTTTTTATTAATTTTTGAATTTTGTGGGATTTTTTCGAGAAACTGCAAATAATCAAATTTTGTCAAAATTATTAAAAATTCCTAGTTGATTTTTTTCGGAGAATTCAATAATATTTTTTTTAAATAACAATTGAATTATTTTTAGAACTATATTATTAAAATAGAAAATATTGAGAATAATTGAATTTCAGCGAAAAATTTTATTAAAATTTGCTGACTTGTTTCTAAGAATTTCGTTAAAATTGTTGAGATTGAGAATAATTTTTTTATTTCAACAATTAGCGGATTTAAAGTAGTGTAAATTCTCAAAAAAAAAACAAAAAAAAATGTAGCTTGTAGTGTCACATATTTTAAAAAAGTATTCAAATAGTAGCAAATTGTAAAAGTAAACAGTAGGTTTTAGTAATTGAGTTCAAAGCCTGAAATTTTTATTTGTAATTGCAATTATAATTTCAATTCAAATTGTAATTTTAATTTCAATTCTCATTATAATTCAAATTGTGATTTTAATGTCAATTCTAATTGTGATTCAAATTGTAATTTTAATTTCAATTCTAATTTTAATTCAAATTCTAATTTTAATTGCAATTATAATCGTAATTTGTAACTTGTAAATAGTCATTACAATTTTTCAGCGCACACATTTTGAGTATAATTTACTATCCAATTAGTTAACTTTTCAGATTTA